AGGATTTATACAGCGCCAACAGTTTGCACAGCACTTTACAGTATAAGGAAGACCAATCACAATACAATTCAAGACAAGATGGTAAGGAGGGCATATACAATAACGTTCTATAGTATACATACACTACTAACTTACCTCAACATTCACCTCATGGAAAGCCCACAGATTTTTTTTTTTTTACTTTATTCATAAACATTTCCTTCAGCCTTACTATGGAGTTTTTTTTGTACAAACTTTATTTAGATATGCTGCTAGTAATAACTGAACATTGCTCCCATTTAAACTAGCTCTGTTGCAGCCGCTAAGTCCCTGTTCACACCTTCGCATTTGCGCAGGTTCGTACTCATTTTTCCCAAGCCCATTGATTTCAATGAGTGTCACACGTGCGACAAACATGGGAAAGTGGTAAAAAAGCAAAAAACAAGCGTTTTAATAGGTAATGGCACCACAAGTGCAGTGCACAGTTTTGAAGTGTTCCATGAACGCATTTGTCAATGCATGTGTTTTGCACGCATTCACAAGAAGTGAAGGTGTGAACGGGGACTTAAAGCACCATTTTTTCTGCCCCTGTGCATGAGCCCTAAAGGTATACAGACTTCAGAGGTATCACATACTACACACCTACAGATGTATACACATAACCAATATTATTAAGTATTACTATATAGAGAGGGAAAAACACACATGGTATATTACACACAATGCATGTTTTTACTGATAAAAAAAGCACATATACAATAACGTACCACACTATACACCCACTGCTAACTTACCTCAGCATTCACATCATATAAAGCCTACAGGTTACTTTTTTTTTTTAACTTTATTTATAAACATTTCCCTAAGGCTTCTTATGAAAAGATTACAGAATTTATTTTCTTGTACAAACTTTATTTAGATACCTGCTAGTAATACCTGAACATTACTATCATTTAAATTAGCTCTATTGTCGAGTTAGAAATGTATAAAAAAAAAAAAGAAGCAACACCTGCAAATTAAGAGGGTTTTTATTCACCTATACTAAAGGCCTGTTTACACTTAGGGTTTCTACACATCATATACAGTGCGTTCCAGCGCAGCTAGCTGCTGGAACGCACTGTATCGCATAGTAACCATCCCCCTGCGTTCTGGGGCCGCACCCATGCCCCACCGATCGCAGTGTGATCGCCCGCACCAGAACGTGGGCATGCATTTTTTCTGATCGCACTGGCCCGCTGCGCAGGCACTGATGTGCCACGAGTTCTGGTGCGGGTGATCACACTGTGAATGGGGGTGAGGGTTGACTTCAATGCACCACCACTTCCCCTTCCACCCCAGAACGCAGGGGGGAGTTTACTATATGATACCGTGCGTTCCAGCAGCTAACCGCCCATCACACCCGCATTGTGGTGTAAATGGGACACATAGAAATCAATTGTTTTCTAAATCCTTGCAGTGACCTGCGTTGATCCTGTGCAGTGCATCACAGGTCACCACACTATGAGGGAATGGGCCTTAAAGGGTGCAAAAAGTTTAGGCCATTAGCATATGCGGCTATCTAATATTACCTGTTTTACAGGTTTGGCAATATTACACGGGGGACACGTGATACATGACCTGATAGTGGCTACAAGTTACAAGAGAGGCAATCCCATATTCTCGAGCTCCATCGTCTCCTGAACTCAGTGGAGTTCTAAAGCCTAAAAGAGAACTATGGGGTAACTTTTTTATCCCATAGTTCTCTTAAGGGTCATGGGAGGACATGTTCTAAGGTCCTCCCTTGATTCAAAGCTCAGTATATAGCAGGCTTTTGCTCACTATATACCGAGATCGCCACAGCTGGGACGGATCCCGACAATGCTATCGAGATTCACCCAGCTGCCTGAGTGACAGCTAGCTCTGCCTATCTAGAGGCAGAGCCAGCTGTGCCCGCCCCTCCCTCGTCCATTTCTCCATCGGAGCGGGGAGGAGGGGGGGGGAATACCTGCGGATTCGCTGACAGTCACGGCTCACTGCAGGGAGATGATCGGAAAGTGAGCGAGCGACGGTTTGCGTTCGCTCACTTCCCGATCAATAGAGCCAACCTGTGACCGTTTCATTGTCACAGGTCAGCTTGAACTATGAGGTTGAGTGAAAATCACTCACCTCATAGTTCCCCTTTAAAGGCATAGTCCAGCTTTTGTTAAAAAAATTAAAATAAATGTGCACGCATTATTAAAAGAAAATATGCGGATGTATTATTTTTTGCATTTTGTAAAGCACTGTGCAAACTGTTGTAGCTATATAAATCATGTGTGATAATAATCATTTCAGCCTGCAAGTGATCAGTGGATGGCAGGTGCAATGCTCTGGCTCCTGCGGACTTTTCCTCCAGTCCATGACCATACCGTGTTACAGACTTTCAGTTACAGGACCAGAGGAAGTACAAATAGATTACAAGTGTGGTGACGTCATTGCTCTTGTGCTCTATCAATAACAAGCCTCTCTGTGGCAGATGGGATTTGTAACCTCTCCATTCACAGATTCTGTGAATCTTTAATCGGATAATCTATCATTGGCTGTGTAGGTTAAGCAGCCTGCGGGGATAAGAACCCCACGGTTCAGGTAACTGGGAGAGCTGGTTGGGGATGTAACCAAGGTTCATGTTACATCCTAAGTATGGCTGTAACATGAATCATGGTTAAAAAAGTAAACTGAGGGGTCTATTCAGGAAGCAGCCAAAGGATCTAGTCGTAGCTTCTGCTGATCCTTCGGCTCCAGGACCCCTTCGGTAGAACCGAAGGGCTGCTGTACGGGCTATTCCCTGTAGCCCGTACAGCTCCCGAAGTGGGCCGGGCGGCTCAGTGGAACTGAAGGCATATGCCTCAGCTCGACTGAGCCGAGGTGAAAGGCGAAGCTGGCCGAGCGGCCGGCCTACAGCCTGCTTCTGACAGCTGGGCGGAGCCAGCCGTGATCTTATGGCTGGCTCCGGCCACATGCAGAGAGATCAGCGTCCCTAGTTACCAGCTAACCAGGGACACTGATCTTCAGACAGCAAACTTTCCCCCGCTCCCGGCCGCCCATGAGAGAAACACTTCTCCAAGAAAGGTTTACTCTGCTCGATCGAGTAGAGTTAAACTTTCCCTACTTTTTATTTTTTATTTTTATTCTGACATGGAGCCTATGGCTCCCGTTAGAATAAAAAAAAAAGAAAAATGTCACGACAGGAATGCATTGCTAGATTCCTATTGGCTATTTCAATTTGCAATAGCCAATAGCAAACTAGCTATTGCACCCACTGCTGCTGTCAATCAGCAGAGGGGACCTGCAGTTCTCCATCAGGTCCCCTCTAGTGATTGACAGCAGCAGAGGGCGGGTGCAAATTTGCTGTTGCAAATTGAAATAGCCAATAGGAATCTAGCAATGCATTCCTATGGCAAAATGTATTTATTTTTTTTGACAGCAGCAGAACCGCCCGGCCAATAGAAAACAGTTGGGTGGAGCTAGCTGTCACTGCTAGCTCCTCACAATCGTTTTCTTTTTTAAACTATGTTTCTGTTCTCCTCGGTCCCACAGAGAGACCGAGCAGAACAGCCGAGCCGAATGCCGCTCAGCAGCATTCGGCTATTTACTCACAGCTATTCGGCATCTACAAGAATAGACCAAACAGCAGCGAGTAGCCTGCCGGAGGGTCGACTTAGCCGATCCAGATTTTGAATCGGCTGAGTCTAACTCCTTCTGCACTTAGGGTCAGCCGAACATGTTTGGCCGACCGAAGTACAGCTGATTTCAGCCGCTATACGGCTGGAATCAGCCTGAAGTGAATAGCCGAACAGCGTTCGGCTCACTTCGCTTGGGGTCGGTGAGTCACTCGGCTGCCTAGTGAATAGACCCCTTAGTCTTTAAGGCTAGTTCACACCAGCCCCATTGTGTTCTGACCCGATTTGATTGCATCCCGGCCGGCTCATTTCGTCTTGGGGAGGGAGGGGGTGTGGCGGTGCATTGAAGTCAATGTCGCCGAAGCCAGGCCCTCCAGCCGCACCAGAACACGTGGCACATCAGTGCATACTGCATGCACTATTTTTTCTCACCACACCAGACCGGAACGCAGGCATTGATGTGCCACGCGTTTTGGTGCAGGAGATCCCCACCCACAGCTTGACATAAGTAAAGGGGTGGAATGCAGTGATGTCATTGACCTTATATGGCTACATGCTTTTCAGCTGGGACAAGGGCCTCTTCCCCATTGTCTTTCGAGGCGGATGAGGCGATCTGTGCAGTAGGGACTTACCACAATTTGGAAGCCCCCTTTTAAAATAAAGTGGTCCTCAGATATTGATCCATCCCAAACACCCCCAAAAAATGAATAAAGGGTACATCTTACCAGTGGTTACTCATTCAAAATGAAATAGTAAAAACAAAACCCACGTTTTGAATGATTTTAATGAAATTACATTAAAACTCCCCAGCCCCCCTTCACCACTGTATGGCAAATTAGAAGTTGGCCTTTCCCATGCAGGTCTCCAATGTGGAGAGTGAAGAGAAGAAACATCAGTCTATATAAAGAGAGGGCGCTTTAAGAAGAGCCCGTTCCTCTCATGATAGGGTTAAGCAGCCTGCGGGGATAAGAACCCCACGGTTCAGGTAACTGGGAGAGCTGGTTGGGGATGTAACCAAGGTTGGAGTCATTCATTTTCTGGGCACACTACAGTCATATGTCCGTGACAGTATGGCCTAGTTTGCAAAGGGGCAGCAAAAACGGGCTGTTGATCGACGGACAGGCTCGGGGTTGAGCCGTGTACGCGCACCGCTAAGCTACGTCACAATCAAATCATCGCGCTTGCATGACGCCGCGCACGCGCAGCCCGACCAAGTGTCGCGGCAGGGTGCTGAATTTACTGCTGCACCGGGGCAGTCTCGGTTATTTCCCACGCAGCGATTGGCTCTCCAGGCTCAGAGTACCTTTTGCTGCATGTAACCAATCCGTGCCCCGCTGGAAAGCAAAGCGAACGCTCATTGGGTGGGATGGGCCAGCTCCTCGGTTTGTCATTGGCTTAGGTGGCAGTTCCGTCGCAAGCTGAACCGTGTCCTGGTTGGGAGGGAGAGTGTAATGTTGGCAACCGGAGGCAGGACGGAGGAGAGGGGCGGAGCGCCGGTATGGACTAGTGTGAGCAGGTATGACAGGTGCCCGTGGAGCAGAAGGGGGTGCTGTGTGTGAAGGGGAGGGGCACTTCATTTACCTGAGGGGGGTCGGTGTGAGAACTCCGGGGTACACCGTGTACAGGGCAGGCTGGGCTCCTTCTGTCACTGAGACCTGTCCTGTACGTAGGGAGCAGGCCTGACAGGGAATTCTCCTATAGTAATGCAGAGTGTGTGAGTGAGGAATCCAATGTTATTACATACTGATGTATAAGATGTCTGAATGACCCTGTAATAGATCTGTGTAACCTTATCTCTGCATTCTCTATGGGGGTATACCGTATATTGTAATGCTCGTTATACATAGGTCTTTATATGGAGTGTGTGTGTGTGTGTGTGTGAGATATCGATATATAGATCTATATATATGTGTGTGTTATATATTGTTTTAAGTATAGAAGACAGAGCTGCAGTTCTTGTATTCAGATGATATGTTTGGCCCGGATTTCAGCATTAGAAAAATGTAAGTGGATTTTTGGAATGCAATTTTTAAGGCCCCATTCACATGGGTCATTTAACTGCCTTATGGCATTCTTGTGGCACCAACCGATGGTTTATTGCATCAGGAATACCACGTGTGCCGTTCAGATGCGGCCTCCATACCCGTTCAATCCTAATGACAGGGTGACAGCGGTCACATCTGTCAGCAATAGTCCACATGTAATCGTACATGGTGCCATTACATGCAGTTCAGGATAGATGATTGACCCTGGACACAGGATAGATGCCTCCAGGGACAATCATCTGTCCCAAGCCGCATGTAAATCTGTCGGTTCTTGCCTAGAAAGCACATAGGGGGGATGCTCACAATTGCTGCGGTGGTCTGCCTGATATACATTGATAGCCGTTATTTTCCCGGCTGCGGCTTCCATTCTGCGCACATGGAGTCATTCATTTTCTGGGCACACTACAGTCATATGTCCGTGACAGTATGGCCTAGTTTGCAAAGGGGCAGCAAAAACGGGCTGTTGATCCACGCTTTTACTGCCCACATAAAACTTAACATGGCGTCCGCTTGGGTTTGTATACATGCCACTGCAAATTATATGCAGCATGTTATGTTTGCCTAGTGGTGCCGCTTGCCAAGCGTGACCTTGCCATAACCACGTGCAGTCAGATTTGGCACATGATTGTGGTGCGGTGTTGCAATGTGAAATCCCCTTGGGAATCTGAAAAAAGAACAGCCATTCTGAAGGCGGCAGTATTGTCCCTTTAAACTCCTTGCAACAGAGAACGAGAAATGTGTGTTCCCAAATGATTAGACCCGATGTCACTCGGACATATAAGTCATAGAGTTATGTCTCAGGTGAACTAATGCATACCATTGCTGCTGAACTGGGGCGTCTTAAGCTTCAAAAAAGAAAAAAACCCTGCGGTCATGAAAGGGTTAAAGAAAAGCTCTACCCTAAACAAACATGATTCTATAACTTCTGCTTGCAGAGGGGTTCAGATCTCTGAATATAACTTAATGACACTGTGGTAACAGTTCCTGAGTCTGAGGGCCTGCGGCAAGATAAGGTGATCTCCTAAACCAGAGAAGCCTTCATACAGTGACCAGAGGGGGGCGCTTTAATGCTAAGCTTATAAGCGTTAATGGAGGAATCTGTTTTATTTTTTTCATTCAGTCCGCAGGCCGAATGAAAAAAAAACGGAGACTTGTATACATGGCTTTACCTTTTCAAGTGCCAACCTCACTCTGTGAGCAAGAAATCCCCAAATATAGTCCGAAGGGAAACCGAGATGTCCAGAGGTGTCGCTCTCCTGGGTCCCCCTCAGTGGGCAGGTTTCACCTGTCTAGCCCTGTCTCCAAACCTGCGTTCACACCCTGAGCAACAGCGTCTTCGCACGTCTTTTGTAGCGCATCTGTGCACGTTTTTGTGCATTTTGCATATTTTTACGCGCATACATATAGTTGTACGTTTTTGCGAGCAGATCATGACACATTGAAGTAAATGAACAAGCGCGTGTTTCTGAGTGTTTCCTTTGAAGTCAATGGGGCCATGAAGTATGGAATCTGCCCAAAAGAAGCTCACGTACTTTCTTGAAGCCTCAGCCGTTTTGCTACAAGCGACAAAATGCTCAGATGTGAACATGGCCATAGAAATGAAGGGAGGAGGGGGTTATTTTTTAGGGCAGAAAAATTGCTACAAAGCGCTTAGTGTGAATGAGGGCTTATGGCGACTACTATGCCTAAATACAACTCATTTTTATCATTTTCTTTTTCGGATATAATAAAGCGAATAGAGTAGTAAAAAAAAAATTGTCCCCTGTGTGAAGTAGTATGACATTTTGAATGAGATGTGAAAGGTTAGAATACCAGTTCATCTAGATATCATGGCCAGCAGTAGCTAGAGGCTGTATTTTCCCCTTATACTTGCATCTTTGTTACAGACCTATGTCAAAGAAGAAGAAACAGGTTTCTATTCAATTTACTAAGTACATTCCACTGATTGTAATCTAGTATCTCAGTAACTAGAAGCCATGTTTCTTTAAGTGGCTGTTAACTGTACAATCAACTTTAGCTAAACCCCAAATTAAAGGATCTCTGGTGTACTGACCTTATAGCAGGTTTGGCCTTTCTGTCTGTGGCCCCTTCCTAGCACAGAGTTATGGCAGAGGACAGGATAATTGTGCAGGGAGTGACACTGATCAGCTGCTTAAAAGAGAACAATGGGGGGTAACCTTTTTATCCCATAGATCGGTTCTCTTAAGGGTCATGGGATATACTAGCCTCCTCCTCCCGTGACCTAAAGCTCAGTATATAGCAGACTAAATACTGAGAGCGCCGCAGCCGGGCCTGATTTCAACAATACTGTTGAGATCCACCCAGCTGGCTGATAGACAGCGGGCTCTGCCTATCTAGAGGCAGAGCCAGCTGTGCCCACCTCCTTCCCTCATCCGTTCCTTCACTCAGCGCTGGAGAAACGGGGAGGGGGAATCCCTGTGGGGAGCTGTGAGTGTCACGGCTCTCTACAGGGAGATGATCAGGAAGTGAGCGAGCAATGGTATGTGTTTGCTCACTTCCCGATCTATAGAGCCGACATGTGACAGTTTTAAGATGCTGGCGACAGCCCCGATGCTGGCGACGTACACTGTACGTCGTCAGTCACGAAGGGGTTAAGTAGCTCCTGATGTAATAGGGGGCTCATGTAAAGGGGGGGGTGCCTGATTAGATGGAGACCCCCCTTTAAATGCCATACCAGACACCTGAATTTCTACATTTTTACTTTTACATAGTTTGCGTTTTAAACTGCGGTGCTACAAAGTTTTGCATACTTTTAAAGTGTGCAGTGACTGAAAAAGGTCGAGAAAAGCTGCTCCAGGCCATGCACGGCTTACAAGATGTACAAATGATATTGTACCCCTTACGTACTACATGAAGAGCTCACTCCTTGCTTTATGTTGCTCATCGGGCCTAACACACAAGTGTTTTTAGAGCTTTTACTTGCCTTACAAAGCTGATCGGTCAATGTCGGTTACACTGTTCGAATGCCATTTTCATTTTTTACAAGGATTACTTTAAATTAAAAATTCCATCCATTTTTTATCTTCCGTCCAGCTGATCTGGAAAGAGGGTAAGAGTCCCAAGGTCAGAGACATAGTCAGGAAGCTGAACCCTTGCAGTGGTCAAAGATATGAATCTATATAGACTTATTTAAAAGAAACCTACACTGAGAGAAATGTGCAGGCTGCCATTACTGAGCACCTACTGTAAATGGTAGTTGTGGTCAGAGTTACTTAGGCTTCCGAAGTCTTCATGACCCCTACTGATACCAACCTGATGTGTGCCATGATTTTATGGTCAGCGTGCCAAATAAGGGGGCACGCTCTAGTGAAATGATAGAACCTGGGGAAGGGCGGGAGGGTCAAGCGCGACCTCGCCGTGACATGCCTAGGAGCTCCCTGTCCCCCTTCTTAAGGGGAGGAGAGCCGCCGCAACTCCTCCCACAAACACGGCCAAGTTACCTTGGCCTATTACTTATCTTACTGATCCCTGATTTCAGTGCTTTTTGAGTCGCTGACTCAAAACAAGTATGCAGACGGTGAAGTGAGAGCTCCTGAGCTGTGCTCTTGTTCTGGGACAGTGGCTCAAAAAGTATTGATTCCATTGGATCAGCATTACAGCGAGATGCAGTTTAGTATTTTCAGAAGCAGAAGTAGGCAGTGACAGTCAATGCATTTCTTCCCCCACAGCGGAGATGAGGAACCGTAAGTAACGACTATTAAACAGCCATTATTCCTTTCTACTGATCGTCTAACTGGCTTTCACCGGTCATAAATTATATTAGGACTGTACAGTACCTTGGAGCAAGCGAGTGGTGGGATATCTCTGCAAAATATGTTGATACCTAATGAAGAAAAATAAAATAACATTTCAGTTGTGCCTTTTGTAAATCTTTATCATATTACTTTGATTAAAAAGCTTTGCAAACCTTCTATCTGTTTTGCTCTAAAGGTTCCAGCGGGATCAAGCACAGTGATGCCCTATCTGCATAACGTTGCCTATCATCAGTGCTAACCCACGCCTTAGGTCACCATGAAGCTGAAGCAGCGGGTTGTGGTGCTGGCTTTGCTGCTCGTGATTCTGGTCCTCACTAAACTTCTGTTGCTGGACAGATTGGAGACCTCCGCTGCACAGAGGCAGGATCAGCTTTCCTTCCAGCGGATGATGTCCAGCCTACAGTTGACCATGGACTCACGGCTTGAACATACGCTTCAGTCCCCATGGGAAATAGCGTCTCAGTGGGTGGTGCCAAGAGAGGTGTATCCTGAAGATACTCCAGAAATGGGAGCAGTTCTGCATGCTATGGCTACAAAGAAGATCATAAAAGCTGATGTGGGCTACAAAGGTACACAGCTCAAAGCCTTGTTAGTCCTGGAGGGAGGACAGAAGGTGGTCTTCAAACCAAAAAGGTGAGATATTAGAGAATGTTTGCTACTGGATGCATAGTACTCCACTATAATTAAAACTATATTTAATGCTCTGCCCCCTTCAAATATCAGATATTTGGTGTTCCACATCTTTTAAAATACTACTGTGACAGTCCGGGCTCTGCATGGACTTGTTGTTCTTCAGTGCGGTATGTGCATTTTGCTATAAAGAGTCCTAGGGAGTCACTAGGAAGTTAGAGACACCAGGATAATGTGGGAGGGTGAAGGAAGATCTGCCTCTTAGGACCACCGCCAGCAATAAAGAACTGGAAGCAAATATATGATTGAGTTCTGGTTTGTTTGTTTTTATGGTCAGTATTGACGAACTAAATATACAGTATATATATTTTGATGATATTTCTATTTCTTTATCAGGCATGACAGATAAAGAGTTCTGTATTCTTCAAAGGCATTGAGCCCTGGGCTAGCTACCATAGCTTGTCTTTCATGGCTCCCTTGCAGTGTCACAAGGGGACCCCAGATCAAGCGATTCACTAATACAAATACTACAACAGTCAGTTGACTTTGCCAATAAGCTATCACTAGACCCACAGATCTAGATCTTCGCTTTAGGAAATAACTCTGAGCTGTATGTTTGCTGGAACTGTGTCTCCATGGGTCCTTTTAGCTGCTGTCTTCTGGCCCTTCATCATCTGGCCACCCAGTACCTCTCCTGGATCATTGTTTTTACCAAGGGTCCAACCCCTGCTTTTATAGTTCTAGGTGTTTCTTCTATGCAAAGGCTGAGTTGTACAGTCTTTTCTTCCTTCTCCTCTGACTCCTCCCCTTTTCCTGCTTGGATTTCTCTCTGCCACCTTCTACATCAGCAGATCTCCATATATATCCTGCATGGGACACTGTCACATGAGAAGGATATAGCAAACCTCAAAGCAGTCTTTCAATGCTGTAACATTTGAATGTAGAGGAACCTGGCTCAGAAGACAAGTCTTTTGCAGTCTTTGGAGCCTAACATATACACTCATGTCTTTTGTGGGCTGGTGCCATGTGCCTCCCGTCTTTACGTGTTTTTTTTTCTTTGTAGTTTCTTTTCCTAATGTTGCCCACTTCCTTGTGTAGGAGCATAGTCTGAGGGGAGGGGTTTTCTCACCCCTTCCCCAAACATACCCATAGTGTCCATATTACAGATGTTGTATGTGTCTCTGACACTGCCAACTGGAGAGGCACCCCGGGGCAGATCCAGACCATTGTAGAGAGATGTAGATTTGACCAGATTATTCTTTTAGGAAAAGAGTAATGTAAAAGCCCAGAGGTGGGCACCCTGGGCACTCCAGCTGTGGTTAAACCACAAATCCCATCGTGCCTGTGGCTGTCAGTTTTCAAATGCCTCATTTATAGTTTCCTCACAGCTAGAGTGCCGAGGTTGCCTACCCCTGTAGTAGCCCGTAGTAGCCGGACAGAACTGTTTATTTACTGTTCTGGCTGCTATTAATTGCTGCACTGAAGATATTGGCTTTGGTCTTTTGACTGCCCTATTGAACAATCCTGCATATTGCTGAATGCCTTTGAATCCCATACAAGATGCTCAAGATTGGGTTAAGAGAGATCTGCGGTGACCCACTTCTATTACAACCTCTATTTACAGCATAATACCTGAATCAAAAGTGATGTTGATACTGTAGTGTTGTATAGGCATTTGGTGCCACTATTTTTCTATATTTATTCCTTAAGTGCAGTTATACATTTGGAGGGCCTACTGGTGTTTTTTTTTTTTTGCAGTTGCAGGAGTCTTTAATGAAGGGTTATTAGAAACTAAATCAAATCAATAAATCACTGCGGCAGCAACAAGCATAGCTTATCTGGCTTTTTTTGTTTTTGTTTTTTTTTTGCGTTATTCATTTTGTATTGAAGGCTCCATCCTGTGACACCTCATTTATTGTAGAGCTTGATGAATCTTCTCACAGATCATAATGGCAGCTAAGCTAATTACACAACAGCCTCCGAATCACAGCAGGTTCCATGTCGATTTATGTTCTATATGGGCTTTTGGCTGCTGCCAAGAAATCAAAGCTTTTACATGCATAGTATGAGGAAACTAAGCATTGTATACATTGTGCACTCTGGGGGGGAAAAAAAGGTTATTCTGTCTAAGATTTCACTGTATAGCATGAAATACATCAGTGACCGTTTGGAATAATTACAGCACCCCTGTGGGTGAAAATAACTGACACCTTAGCATTCTTTTTTATCCTTCCTTTGCCTGTGGGAGCAGCACTTTGTCTCTTTCATGAAAAGCCATATCCTTTTTCTTTACTGATGTGTTATGTGACGTTACAGATACAGCCGGGATCATGTAGTAGAAGGGGAGCCCTACGCTGGATACGACCGTCACAATGCCGAGGTGGCTGCTTTTCATTTAGATAGGTGTGTTCTCTAAATCAGAATTTTATATGTCATAGTTTATCACTGCTTACTTCCTTCGCATGAGATTCACTAATGTTCTCTCCTCCAGGATCCTCGGCTTCAGACGAGCACCTTTGGTGGTTGGTCGATATGTAAACCTTATGACAGAGATTAAACCAGTAGCCGCTGAGCAGCTGCTAAGCACATTTCTTAAGCAGGGTGAGTGGAGATTTCGAAGAGTATTATATTGTCATGGCAGATGCTAACAGGTAGAGTTGTATGTTAGAAGAGCTGGTGCTTCTAATCAAAGCATTGTCATTCATTATAGCTGTCCATTGCAATGTTTTGTTTTTCATAATTGTGTGGTTTTGCAGTTCCAGGAAGATGGTTGGCAAATATTATCCTTTTTTTTTAACTGTGCATCATAGAAGCTATGAGTTGCAGCTATTTTTAAGAAGTGTCAGTGTAATAATTGGAGCGAGTAAGGATCATACAGAAGTAATATGTTCATGTATGCCTGCGTATGTATGTGTATAAATATATTCTCCGTCTCTCGATCAGCTCTCTAAAGGTCAGAAAATTATATTACTTAGTGTGAATCACTTCTTGCCATAGACTGCAATGCCAGGAAATCTGAATGGCCACAATCTATATTTTTACATTACCCCTTCCCTGCAACTTTCTGTCCTTATTTTAACACTTATCTAAGGTTTTCTACCATAAAACAGTAGGGAAAAAAGGGTCACATGACCACCAATGCTTAATTTCATTCTGCGCTGCACTGATTGGTGGGAGGAGTCTTGTGTAGTCAGCATATCCGTGCAGTAACACACTTATAATACAGGATTTATATAGCGCTAACAGTTTGCGCAGCTCTTTACAATATAAGGAAGACATTACAATCACAATACAATTCAAGACAAGAGGGTAAGGAGGGACCTGCCCCTGAGGGCTTACAATCTAAACGGCTGTTAATCTAACACTAGCAGCTTGCTTACATGAGAATACAGAGAAGACCTCATGGGTGTGCTGCTACACTTTTATTGTCCATTCACCAGGCAGGATAGGGGAAGGTGACATAAATGTCTTGCTTATCTGTTTTAGAGTTTATATATTAGAGAGAGTTAACAGCCATAACGAGAGGCAAACAAATCTTAGTTGTCTTAACAAATAATGCCATTGTACATGCTTCCCAGGAGCTGGTTTGGCTTAACGTGGTCATATGGTCCTTATAGGAAATAACACCTGTTTCTATGGGAAGTGTTACTACTGCCGTGAGACTGAACCTGCATGTGCAGACAAGGAAGTGATGGAGGGCACTGTTACACTCTGGCTCCCGGACGTGTGGCCCCTTCAGAAGCACAGACATCCCTGGGGCAGGACGTATCGTGAGGGCAAGCTGGCAAGGTAAGGCTTTGAAGTAAAGAAAGCCTAGTTTATCTTCTCCTGATGCCTCCAATCACTCATATATGCATTCCTCTCAGATGGGAGTACGATGAAAGTTATTGTGATGCGGTAAAGAAGACACCACCTTATGATGCCGGTCCCCGGCTCCTCGACGTCATAGACACAGCCATTTTTGACTACTTAATAGGAAATGCAGATCGCCATCACTACGAGAGCTTCCAGGATGACGAGGGCGCTAGCATGCTTATACTGTTGGACAATGCTAAGAGGTTAGTGTGCATTGACCTGCTGGAAAACAATGTATGGTTTTTATGGCCTTTTACAGTTAACAGCCTTCGATTATATAGGCATCAGGGAAGTCAACGCTTTACACTATTTAGAGTTGAAGATCACCTCTGGACTATTTTGTTTGTTTAAAGGTTTAACATTTAAAAAAAACCTGCTTTGCTTGCAATACTCTCCTTCTCTCTAGCGTTGTCCCCACAATAATAGTTTTCCACCACCAAGATGTCCTCAGTGGGTTGACTGACACCTGGTGGAGGGAAGTATGCAGTAATGCTTGTTTCCATTGCCAAGATGCCTGCACAGAGCAATGCCAGACACTGAGTTCTTGACACAGAACATCTACCTGGATCAAAGTAGCTCCCATTACACCATGAGGGTCAAATTTAAAAATGTTTTTTCAATGCAAGCAGTGTGAGTACTGACTATGACTTGGCATCAGCCTCTTGCAGTCTACTATACAGTCTGTGGAGCTCAGAGAAGAGAGCTCAGAGAAAAGACAGGGGAGAAACTGCACAAGGAGCCAATCAGGTGGGCTGCAGTGCAAGGAGCAGAGGAGAGAGCAGATATGAGCTCATTATTGTGCTGCTTCTCTATTCACTGTCCAGTCTCAGGGTGATGGTGGGTAGGAGACCTGTAAGTCAAAGTAAAACTTCAGCAGAGATAAACAGGCCTCCTGTCCGGACAGACAGGGCTGTGCTGTTTTGCAGAGCTGTGTAAATCTCGTAACTGGATAAATAGAAATACAAATCCTTTGTCAGGTAAAACAGGGTATGGGGCCCTGCACAGTAAGCATTTTGTCCCCTGAGAAGGTACAGTGAATATGTTTAGGTATAAATAAAGATTTGCTTATTACTGCAAAGTTGATAAGTACTTGGGTGCTAACATAAAGCTATTGTGCCAGTCTTGATAAGATGGATAGAGATATTTATACGCTGAAATGATTAACCTTTCTGGAGGAAATGCTGTTCCAGGCTTCCTTCTGTGCTGGGTACACCTGCAATGAGGGCCTAGGAGACTGTTCACATGAAGGGAAGAGTCAGTCATTCTAAACTCTGATTGTTTCATTCACCAAGTGCCCAGGCATGTGCACAGCATTGGCGGGAACCTAGAGTAAACGTTTCTCCAAGAAAGTTATCTCTGGCCTTAGTATATCCATCGAAGAAAGACTGTTCATGTAGCCGTATGTAATACTCTAGTATATGTCCACTTTAAAGAGAAGACTCCTCTGTGTGGTTTCCTCTACATTTCAGACATTCAAGGGTTTTGAAATACCTTATCCACAAACCACGTTAATGGTGATGGAAAACACAGCTACATACATTTCAGACATTCATGAGTTTGGAAATACCTTATCCACAAACTACGTTATTGGTGATGGAAAACACAGCTACATACATTTCCGCCGGCCCTGTGTTAAATATTAATGTGATCACGCTGTATGTGTAGTACTAGAGTCATCCGAGCAGCTGCAGCTATTTAATTATCACTTCTGACCGAAGTCCATGAGGTGAGGTTGTGTAAAGAATGTTCTTTGTGAGTAAGGGTTACGTGGTTTCATTCAGTTATGACCGTGGGATTATGTGTGTAAGTGTCATGAAAACTCTCCTAAGTTCATCAATGAAACAATAAATCCTCTATAGTAAAACACGTACTGCTTTTCATTATAGTGCCATAAAAGTAATACAGTAAAATACATTTTTGAAACTTGGAATTGAAAAGATTCTGATGGCACCAAAAAATGTTTTTGCCAGTGTTAAGATCATTGCTTGTGAAGCTTGAATGGTTTCTGGTGGGGAGGTGGTTGGGGGTGCACATTGCCTCTGACCAATGTCCACCCAGCACACTGATGTCACTGGTTGCCAGGAGCTGGGTAGGATGTTGGCAAGAGGGTCACAGGGTGCTAAGAGCTCTGGCTGGAAAGGGGACAGCACGTGACCCAATGAGGTTCCGCCTGAGGCAAACACCCCAGGCTGCCTCATTTTACGGACATCCCTGACTATGGAAGTAAACCTTATTTTAGGTTAGGTAACCTCAGCACCCCGTATGTGGTGAAACTACAAATTCCGTCATGCCTGTACCTATCAGAATCTTGCCATGCTTCATTGGATTTGTAGCTTTACCACAGCTGGAGGTTGCCTACCCCTGTTTTAGTGTCTTTCTTCACGCCCCATTCACACCTAAGCATTGTGTGTGTGACTTGTAGTACAGGAGCAGAATTCTGCGATTGTTTTGACCCCGTTGACTTTTAAATGCTCAGGTGTGAACAGGCCCATCAAGAATATTAGGATTCTTCATCTTGTGCGTTGTCGCACTTCAGAAATCGAAGAACAAAATGCCTCATACCAATGACATTATCCTATCTTTTAGCTTCGGTAACCCCTCGATGGATGAGCGCAGCATTCTTGCACCCTTGTACCAGTGTTGCATGTAAGTTTCTTTATATTTTTTTTCCCTTCATTTTAATTTGTTTTTGACTTTTTTGTTTCCCCATTTTTTGATTTTTTTTTTTTTCCCCCTCCTCCTTTTAACTTTCTTTTTCTCTTCTTGTCACAGTGTCCGTGTCTCTACTTGGAACCGGCTTTCTCACCTGAAACACGGCACCCTACGTTCTGCTCTGCTTTCGGCCACCAGTCACGACCCGCTTTTCCCTGTCCTCGCTGACCCTCATTTGGAAGCTCTAGATCGGCGCCTGCAGGGTATTCTGTCAACCGTCCAGCAGTGTTTAGACCAGTTTGGTTCAGACGTGGTGATGGTGGAAGACCGAATGACCCTCTCTCACGTGTAACACTAGCCCTGTTTACAAGAGACAACATTTTTGGAAAGAACATGGAGCTGGTGCAAATATTTTACAATATACAGCAGAGCACAGCACCCCCCCAACCCTTCCCCCCCAGAGACTACGGCCTGACACACTGGAGGGATAAGAGGCCAAGGGGCAGAATTAAGCACTCTGTACCACATTAAAGCCCGGATGATGTGGACATTAATGAATTATGATTTTTATAGAACTCAAGGGACATTGCAAGCCTGTGATGCTCAGGACTCGAAAGTATGGAGAAGAAAAATGGCAGATTTTGCCTTTATCTCATAATTTATTCTCTCGCTGTCATTTTTTTTTCTTTTTTAATCCCTCGTAAAGGTTGTCAACCTTTAAATCATGAGGGGGTGTTGGTTTACAGTTTGCACAGTGGCCACATGGTGGCACTGCCACTCTTTTACAGGAACCGTGTGGTACAAATTGTTTGCTCTCCTTTGCAGGGTAAAGCGTTTACAGCTACAACCTTGCCTAAGTCCAGATCATGAAGAAACTTTTAATTTATGAACTAGTCCTTAGAAACTGGCATTAAAACATAGTCAGACCTTGTTATTGCCAGTGCTTTTTTTTTTTAATGGCAGCTGCAGATTATTACAGATAGCTCTCTCTTGATTTGGGAGGCTTGAAGCTTATTGATTCAGTGAATTCTGCTGACTACTTTTCTAAGTCTTTGTCCACAAACCACGGGTCCTTTTTGCTAAGTTTTCCCAAAACTGATCTGTTAGTTGTGCATGGTGACAGGGGAGTTGGGCAGGGTACAGATTAACTACAATTCTAAGACCCCAAATTCCCGCACTGCCTAAACCACAGATGCTAAAAGCAAAGCTAGGGAATCATCTGTAATGTGAATGAACTGGAGAAAAACAAGAATAATTTTATTCATGATATGAACAAGGCTGTTGGGCAGGACTGGCAACCAAGTTGTCACAATGTCTGTGGCGAACCTTGAGATATGACACCGGTGGGTAATTCAGCATTGTAGCATCCATATGAAACAGACTGTCCTTTTAGTGATAGAGCCACGGATTACCTCTTCATAGTGCCCATAAATGCAGCTGTGGCCCTTATCAGTTTTCTCTTTGACAGGCAATGGCCCATCTACACAGCTATCACTGTAGAGCAACTATAGTGGAAGTCAAATATCTGTGGCAGTGGAACCATGGTGACAGGCAGGAGAACGTACTGCAGAGACCAGTGAAAGCTACCTTGTTTTTGGCTATTCACATACCAAGAGTATATATTGTTAAAGTGGACCTGTCTGGCATATATTTTGGGTGTATTCATTTTCTGTAAAGGGCCAGTAATTCAGTCACTACTGCCGGCCAATTCTCTAGGAACCACACACATCCCTGGTCCTCATGCCACAATAATGTCCCTGGTCCCTTGTGACTTGGTAGGCCAAATAATAGGTATAGTTTAAAGCCGTACCACTGTCATAGGCAGAAGCAGGCACAGAGCAATATAATCTGTCGATTGTGAGTTCGGAAATTGTATATGATCTTATGTCTATTGTACAAGTCTGGCACTGTAAATGTTTCTCTTTTCTTCACTAATTTAAACAAAGCATTTTTTTTATTTTATTTCTTGGTCCTCAGTTGATAAGATGATCTGCACATATTGTTTTACATTTTAATTCTGTCTAATGATTGACAAAGAGTAAAACTATCGACAGTCAATAGTTATCTGTCCAGTTATTGCAAATAAGACAGCAGGCTTCATTTGTCTTTACTGCTCTGTAGCAGCCAATCGGATTTCTACTCCAGCTGTCATTTTTCAGTATATGTTTCACTCTGATTGGATACTACTACGGTATGCAGCAACATAGACAGTTTTTTTTTTTTTTTTTTTAAGTTCATACACTTTAAGGTTCATAGTAGGTTTTTTTTGGCTGGTCGTGTTGTTACAACCCTGCTGCAAATGTTCTTGTTGCCGAGCTAAGTTGGCTATAGAAGCAACTATAAGGTGAAAGGTTTGGAGGTGGCAGGAGAAGTGAACATTCTAGGCCAAAATTACTGATTTGGAAACATTCTTCAATGCAGCTCACTTTCCAGTTCACCTATGTTGTCCTAGATTGTTCACTTCTCCGGCCTTCTCCAAACCCCTCACCCAAGTAACCCTGTATAATTCATCTGCTAAGAAGCATTCCCACATTTGTATTTGTCAGAACTCTTCAATTACATGCACTCTTGTAATTAAGTGTCCAGTTTTTGTTTTGTTTTGTTTTGACAGCTTCATTAAAGTGACACTACACACAGGAGTTGAATCTTGAGAATGCAACATTATTTGTGCATCACTCAGCTGTATATTGTCAAATCATCTCTGCATTGGTGCTGACACTGTCCTTCCTTCTGGAGGGTGGCTACTTTTGTTCCCCACGGTCCCTTTGTGTTGTAAAGTAGTCAACGCTCCAAGCTTGCTCGTGTGATGAACTATAATCTTAGTAAAAATTAGTAAACTAAATGTTGGGTTGTAGAGCAAGCTTGGAGCGGTGGATACTTTTAAATACACACGGGGATCATGGGGAACAAAAGTAACCACCCTCCAGAAGGAAGGACAGTGTCGGCACCAACTCAGAGATGATTTGAGGATCTACAGCCGAGTGATACACAAATAAGATACATTTTTGTGAATAGTTAAGGTACTTGAATGTATTTTTAAGATTTAACTTCTGAGTTTAGTGGCTAACTGGTTCCCATTAGGGGTACTATCTGCATAAGTGTTAGAAGGGTTTCCTCTGGTGTTCTTCCACAACCCAAAAATATACTGGTGGGTTAATTGGCCATGCAGCAAATTCAGCTGTTGATACTTGTTAACAGAATCCTTTTCTTGGCTAGCAGGAGAAATTAACCTCTTGTTTCCACCTGAAATGGATAGAATCCTAAGGTACCCATACACCTTGCGATTATCTTTGCAAAACGATAGCGATCGGGTTTACGTGCGATAATCGGCCACTTGGTGAAATGAACGATCACAATTACTGTACTTCTGGCTGAATTTCCTCGATCGGTCAGGCTGGAAAACTTTATTCGAATCATACGAAAACTTGATGGATTAGTGACGTTTTCGTACGGAAAACATTGCAACATGAACACTGCACGTGCGCAAAAGAAAATCCGTTATGTCAATCTATGAAATTCAGCCAGTTAGTATTGCTAACGAACAATAATCAAAATCTACATTGGTCTGTGCATGACGGTGTGTTCAAGCGGAAATCAAACGGGGGATCAATGACGGGACAAAAGAAATTGAACGATATTTGTAAGGTGTATGGCCAGCTTTAGACCGGAACACCCCTTTGTTTGAAACATTAACAATTCCTCTTTTTATGCCAAACATGAACACATATGACACGTTCCTGGTTAGGACAGATTCATGATTACATTGTGAGCATTTTGGGTTTTCTGGGTATTTATTAGTGATGTGTTTAACAAGGTTGTGTTTGCCAAATTGCTTGTGTTTGAGAAGAAAGCCTTTCTCATATGTCTACCTAAAATACAGCTTCGCATCACCAAAGTCAGACAGGCTACAAGGGGGATTGCTGTGTATATATATATATATATATATCTGTTGATCTATGTGGGGATTCACAGGATAAGTAGACAGTTCTATGGTGGTAGGTAGTTCACTAGGAGTGCTGCAGAGATTATATTTAGAAAGTAATAAGTCCTTTTATTACAGAGCGTGATATAGAAAGATCCAGATTCTAATCTGGATCTTTCTATATCTGGATGCACTGGATAACAACTAAATGACATGGAGAAGGAGTGGGAGTTACACTGAATATTGTTTCTGAGATTGCTACAGATCAAAAAATGTATTTTGGAATCTGGTGAATCTTTGCTTTTGACAGACGCTAAATGTGCCTTAATATGTGAATGCAGATTTGTCCAGAGTGCAGCGAATGATGCAATTCATGATTCCAGGCAATCCTGATTCATGAAATGCATAATAACGCCTCTCCGATGGGACACGGCACCATGAATATTTTCAGGTGTAAGGAATTTCACGAATTACACAAAGGAATTTGGTTCTCTCTACAGCGTGGTAGATGATGATAATAATAATGTTATTTATTTTTGTTATTGCTTATATTGTACTGCCTAGCTATGACAAGGAGTAAGAACTCAAAATATGGGTCTAGATTCGCTCAACATAACTACACTAGACACCAAGCATGTGAACATACATTTGAGTGAGCTGTCGTATGTTGTACCAATCAAACTAGTGTTAACACTAGGGCATAAAGCAATCATTCACAGGTTACAATTGTTCTGCTTGAAAGAACTAAAAATCCCACCATATCTTTGTAGATTTCCGAGATCTTAATAGTGGGGGACATGAGAGTTTGTACAAGTGGTAGAGTGTTTTCCATTTATCTTTTGTGCACCTCTAACATATTGCTCTGTCTGGGCACTGGGGTTTGCTGCTGTTGAAACCATTGGGTGACGCACAATGCACTTCACAGGTAAGACCATGTTTATTTAGATGTGGACATCAAGCTGCTATGAACTTAAAATGTACATTGCATAAGAGGTGACTCACTTAATACTACACTGCACCGTTATAGGTTTACAAAGTGCTTTAGGATACACTCAATGGATATAAATTTACAATTACAATGTGATGATACTGTATTCAGGAAAAAGCAAGTTTGTGTTGTCTCATGTATTGACATACAACACCTCACCAAACCTTCTACCTCACGTGTCTTGTGTCCCAAGGAACAAGTTGTGAGGAGTTGGTATGCTTAGAGTGACACTAAATTCAGGATTTAAATCTTAAAAATACATTAAAGTTCCTCAACTATTAACAAAAATGTATCTTATTTGTGTATCACTCGGCTGCGAATCCTCAAATCATCTCTGAATTTGTGCTGACACTGTCCTTCCTTCTGGAGGGGGTCTACTTTTGTTCCTCATGGTTCCTGTGTGTGTTGTAAAGTAGTCACCGCTCCAAGCTCACTCCTGTGATTGATTACAATCTCATGTTTAGTTTACTAATTTGTTCTGAGATTGTAGTCCATCACAGGAGAGAGCTTGGAGAGGTGGCTTCTTTACAACACACACACGGACCCTGAGGAACAAAAGTAGCCACCCTCCAGAAGGAAGGACAGTGTCGGCATCAATTCAGAGATGATTTGAGGATCTACAGCTGAGTGATACACAAATAAGATACAATATTGTTAATAGGCGTTAAAATCTTAAAAATACTAAGTTTGTGTCACTTTAAGTTAACCAGAATGTATTATTTGATCTGTGTCTTCTATGCTTTCTGTAGCAGCTTCAGGAAGGAATAACTTGCTTCCCACCGTGGGAGTTCTCTCTTTTAAGACGCTTCCTTGGAGGATGAGCTGGAAGTGAGGAAGTTCTTTTGCTGGAATCCCCTATGCCACCTGGATTTCTGGAATCACGAAGGACTATATACGATGGCATAGCCTTATAGGTATACCAGAAAAGTGACTCTTCTCTCTAAATCACTAATGCCCAAAGCTGATGGGCTATAGGCTGTTTCAATGCACTGGGTTTATGTTTTCATGAGGGTGCAATTAATCTGGTGAGGTGGTAAAGGGCTCACCGCCTAGCATTAACTTTTAGGAGCATAAGCTTCTCTTCTTACTCATTGGTTACTGCCCAGATAGTCATAGTTACCAATGACATCTATTATGGCAGAAATAAATGACCATATTCAATGGCTACCGTAGGTGACAATAAAAAACACTTCCAAACATAGGAACTTATTAGAAAATGTCTGTGGCCTGGCTGATCCTTCTTTCTTCTCACTGAGAGCATAATACCTAGACATGTAAATTTAGTTTCATTCCAAATGGATATTTGTACAAATTACATTAAATTTGGATGCATCTCAATTTGAACACGGCCGAATGCAAACGAATCCGAATGTTCAGATCCGTCTGAATTTCATTCAAAACAAAACTAGATTGGACATGTGACTGTTCTCTGGCCAATCAGATGTATTATTTTTTGGGTGTTGGGGGTTGCATTACAGGCACGGTAATGTGATTTGCTGTTGTGGAGTAGAGAGAGTCGATAGGAGCAGTAGGGGAGCACACGTGTGTCAGAGCTGAAATGCCGAAAAAAATGTAAGTTAATTTATAATGATTTATTTATTCCCTGTATGTATATAGCGCTGACAATTTACACAGCGCTTTACATAGTGCACATTCACACCAGTCCCTGCCCTCGAGGAGCTTACAATCTAAGGTCCCTATCTCACATGCATACAATTTAGAGAGGAGCCAGTTACCCTTCCAGCATGTCTTTAGTCTTGTCTTAGTCTTCCACCAGTCTTTAGAGTGTGGAAGGAAACCGGAGTACACAGTGGAAACCCACGCAAGCACAGGGAGAACATGCAAACTCCTAGCAGATAGTGACCTGACCAGGATTCAAACCAGGGACCCCCAGTGCCACAAGGCATAAGTTCTAACTACTATACCACTGTGCAGCACATAATTAAAGAACCTCTTCCGAATACATCTGAAACCCAAATAACGAACCAAATCGGATTTCGGATCCAAAAAACAAAATAAATAAGTCTGAATCGATAACGAAAATATTTTTTTGTGGGGTTACATGTCTAATAGGAACCACATATATATAAATGTAATATATATATTACTACCTCTGTCCTTTTGGTTAAGCTTTGGACTCTTGCTGTACAGAGACTGGGTAGATAATGTATCTTTTTGTTTTAGATTTTAATGGTCTTTTAATGTAAAGTTTTGAATGATCTGACTTTACTTACATGTACTTATAGTTACTGTTCTTCTCACATTCATAGTGCATTCCACACACAAAAAAAGTATGTCGAGTGTGAATGCATTAAAATGCTTCCTCATAGCTCCGGCAAGCTTAATGGTTTGGGCAGGGTTAACAAATGATGAGTCAGATCTAAGCAGAAATATCCCACTAGGCTTGGCTGAGCTCACACACAGGGACAACCCATCAGCAGACTGAGCGGAGGGAAAGTGACAGTCACTACTCCTGGGGAGTGTCACCGATCAGCATTCACTAGTGACAGAGAAGGAAAATTGTAGTAAGAGGGAGGGGGATAGAATGATCTGATAAAGGGAGGAGAGAGGAAACTGGCAATATAATTTGTGAAAGTAGAACATGGCCAAGCTAAATTGCTGAGCAGGATGCAAGGCGTTGGGACTGCAGCAAGAAAACCAAGAACAGGATTTGCAAATAGCTGAGGGCTTACGCACAGTTCAGGAAAACAAAACTAACTAGCTAGCCTTGCTCGCTGCAAAGGATACAGGGAGAGCTGCTGGATTCTCATACAATCTAGGAATCGCTACTAAGAAGTGGTTCATGGCTGTCATATACAAGGCTGCTAGCCTACTGCTGCTACTCATTAGCCCATCTTTGGTATATTGTACTGAGCAGGGTCTATCAAAACAAACTGAATTAAATGAGGATGCAGAGGAGAAGGATAGTATATGGTTTTCTAGCGCTCCTGAAGTGCAAGACTTGGCACACCTCTCTTGGGAGTACGTACATGAACTTCAATGTTGGCTGTGGCCAGAAAAGTGCGAGGAGATAAAGCGGGACCATGCAGGTGAGAACTGTCATTCCTTGTTTCTTCATTGTCTAGGCTGGAGCTACACAGGGGTTTTTTTTTCAGTTACAGTGAGAAGTCTCTTCAAAGTGAGAGAAATCTTCTCTTGGACAGATGTCACTGCAACAAATGTCCCCATTGGAAGATTTCCCCCTCTCTTCCTGTTCTGGTGACAACTCAAAAAATGTGGCTTTCCCTCACTTTCGGTCCCAATGACAATGGGCACTAGGACATATAGATGGGGTGAATTTTTTTCCACCCTCCCACTTTATATATTACTTTATACATTCCTCTATGGTCTGTTCATTACATTCTTACCTATCCAGTAAAGTTGCATAGACTTCTATATTCTAAAATGATTTATTCTGCTGTTTTATAGACTGGAGCTGGAACAGCTTTGGATGGGATTCCCTGAATGTCCTGACTGACCTGTACACTAGAGTGACTAGTCTCACCGATCTTACACAAGGGACTGTTCTCAACAACCTCACAGGTAAGGAGAGCATAGACATCCACACATGCCTTAATCTTTCAAGATTAGAAGTGGCTATCTATCGGTTCAGTAGCCAGAACGCATTTACAAGTAGATAGTAAAAGAATACATTATTTCGTAAAAAGATTCTTTGCAATACAGATAAAATAAAAAGCTGGTAGGATTTCAAAGCATTGCTGATCAGCTCTTTCTAAGATAGATGGTATTTCATAGATACTGCAGAGGGCACAATAACTAAGTACTGACCATTCAATGTTTCTTCCTACCACAGGCCTGCAATGGGATCTGGAACAGCGGGTACATGGCCAGCACCTGGCAGTGAAGCAGATCTTATCTTCTGTAAAGAAGTTCCTGCAGGATGATGACTCCAAAAAGTCTCAGGTGCTCTCCTTCCATGGATGGACAGGTACCGGAAAGAACCTCGCTGTCCGTATCATCGCAGAGAATCTTTACCAGAACGGGCTGCGGAACCGGTGCACCAAAGTGTTCATTCCGCAGCTGCACTTCCCTCACCAGTCACATGTGGAGGCGTACAAGGTAAATTCCCTTGTTTTAGCTAAAAGTGCCAAGTTTACCCAAACCATATAATATAAGTGTTTGTAAAAGCTAGTGAGTTGATTTTACTGACTTCCTAGGAACTCCATTAATACAATGAAATAGTTATCTGAATTGTTGGAAGTAGTGTAGAACCCTTCAGGAATCAATGGGCTTCATTCATAAAAGGCAGTCAGATTAAAGCATATACTGGAAAGTGGCAGATGGAGAATGAAGGGACCTAGTTGCCGTGGATGACCGTTCATATTTTAGACAGTGATAGATTAGGGTAATTGTACCTTGTACAGCCATATTGAAAGTTCTGTACTGTGCTGTCCTAAATTCAGGCTTAGCTGCAGGATAGTATAGCTCGGTGTTTATGAGAATGAATGTGAATATGGAAACTGTGCTATAGAGCAACCTGTCTCAACCAGGGTACCTTCTGGCTTCCTCACGGGTGTCTTGAAATTGTGACACAGCATCATGCAAAAGATAGGGACTGTGAAAAAGGGCTCCTAGTGTGATTGGGGGGAGGGGGGTGACTCTAATGTGAAGGAGGGCTTCATGATGTAAATGGGAACTCTGATGTAAAAGGTGCTCCTAATGTGAAGAGGGAACCTCAATTTTTTCAGTTTTTGGATGGGGCCCCCCCTTGAAATCCATACCAGACCCTTATCAGGGATAAGGGTCTGGTATGGACTTTGAAGGGACCACACATCATTGTTTACATTTATGGTTTTTAGAGTGTGTTGACTGGAGATTCATAAGGGTGCTGTGAATGAAAAAGGTTGCTAAACACTGCTATAGACTAATGTGATGTAATGAGCAGTGAAGGATTCTGCGCCTGCAGTAAATCTGACTGTAATTTGACATTTTGTCATTGATTCATTCTCAGGTTCAGCTGGGGAAGCAGATCAGAGAGATTTCCTCTCGCTGTCCACAGCCCTTGTTTGTGTTTGATGAAGCAGACAAACTGCCAGCAGCTCTCCTGGAGCCTCTGTTACCCCTTTTTGTAGAAGACCCCCAGGCCCGCAGCATCCTCATATTTCTCAGGTAAGATCTGACTGATACCTACTCTAACAAGGCAATATTAATCTAAGAGGAAGGTTAGACAAACCTGTCATGTTGTACTAATTATATTTTCATAAAACTATTAACTTCTAACAAAGATATAGTACAATGATTAGCATGTAAGTGGTTAGACCCCATTGTGACCTTGGGGTAAACATTCCTATAACATAGGAAACCAGAGCACCCAAAGGCATCCCATCACTCTCCAAAATTAGCAAATGTTGGCAGGCTGACAGCTTTTGAGTACACTAAATAACATTGTACTGTAAGCTCTACTCCTTTCAATACTGATTATATATTATAAAGGATCCATAACGTGTAGAAGATTTCTTTTGCTAGCCTCCTAAGTTACAAAAATTATCTCTGCAGACGTGTTGGGTTTGCATGCAAAACTGCTGACTTTTCTTTTTTAGGCCTCATCCACAGGGGGTGTGTTGCTCTGTTCAGTGTGAAGGGCTGGTTTTTGATGCGCCCAGAGCTGTACGAAGAAGCATGCGGACAGCTGATGTAACTCTATGGAGATGCACGGGGTGTGCGCCCTCACGCTGCTTCCCGCGGCTCCGAGTTTTATAAGGAGCACACAGAGCGTGTACAGCCTCGGATGCATACGTTGTGGATCCAGGTCCAAACATCGTCTGTGTGTGGCTGTCAAAACTTGGCAGTAGCGCGTGAGGGCGCACAGCTCCTGCATGTTCATAGGGTTAAATGAGGTGCCTGCATGCTTTTTCCTGCAGCTCCGGGTGCATCAAAAACCAGTCCTTAATACTGTACAGGGCAACAGGCCCCATGGGAATGAGGACTTAAAGAGCAGGGAATGGTTAGACACATTTTCAGGTTTTTATTGCCATCTGCACTTTTAGTAGGAGATTCTCCCTTCATTTCCTGTGCTCCTGGCAGCCAGATAGAATGAAAATAATCAGGAAAACATAAATATTGTTAATACTGCAATATTGTTACAGAGTGTTGTGAATGTTAAGAACTATATACAAATGTTATGCTCCTTTAAATCTAAATCCTTTTTTTAACAAATATTTTAGTGGTATTGGCAGCACTAACATCAATGAGGTTACCCTAAAATTTTGGCATGCTGGGCGACATCGCAAGGTGATTACATTGGATGATTTGGATCGACCATTGAAGGCTGCAGTGGAACGACATGAAGGTACATACACAAATATGTAGTGTACATCTTATCTGTAATATTAAAGAGGCACTCCAGCCAAGTAAAAACTTACCCTTGCAGTGGGGCTACCACTGCACTGCAAGGGTTAAATGCTCGTTTTGTTCTAGGAGCTGGAATAAAGCAGATTTACTTGCCTGGTCCCAGTTTCTACCAGGCTGCTAAACCGGTACCCGCAGCCTTTTCTTCCTTGAGCTCCGGCAGTCCAAGGACCGCTACATTAGATGTGCAGATGCCCAGGGACAGTACATAGCTGATGCCCAGGGACAGTACATGCTGGAGCTGGGATCCGGGAAGTAGAACAGCTTTATTTGAGTCCCCTAGACATATCTAGCACTTAACCCTTGCAGTGCAGGGGTAGTCCCACTGCGAAGGTAAGTACTTTTCCATGTGCCTGGAGTTCTTTTTTAAGGAGAAACCATAGTAGTTTTTGAATCTTGTTTGTTTTTTTAATTTTATAAACTGATATTTGACATCATTTTGATCAATTTAAAGTTATTGAAAACAGGACACTCTCATACCACTGGGATTTAAAATAACAGTAAGACTAGTGCTGCAATTATTGACTCCTACAGACTGAAATTGACTTATCCTGCAAAATAAAGATCCACATAGCAGCAGCTTTTCAGGAAAGGAAGGAGCGTCGCTCCTCTGAGTCATTTAGCTAACTTATTCAGCTGAATGTGTGTGAGATCTTTTCAGGTCTGTAGTCACACTAACTATATATGAAACCAACTTAAGCCCCCTGATGGCCAGTACTAAGCATATTAAAAAAAATATATGGAAAACCAATATACATTCACTTTGATTAGCTCTGGAGGCCGCCATGTCTTCCCTTTTCAGTCCTCCTAAAGCTGTCCATACACCTTGCGATTTTTGTACGGCGACCCCATCCTGCCCCGATTATCGCAAGGTTGGATCAGCGGTAATTAAAAGAAAGCACCTAGACGAATTGCAGTAATCGACTGCATATATTTTCATCTGCGCATGTGCAGTGCAAATTGGTACGAATTTTGACGTACGGAAATGCCACCAACCTTGCGAAAATCGTTCGATCGACCCAAGTTTTCTAACCAGCTGGTTAGTCAAGTCGATCTATTGTACAGTATTTGCGGTTGTACACTGCCCATCAACCTTAAGGTGCCCATACACTTTACAGCCCTCGCAAGACTTTTGTCTTGCGAGGGTTGTAAAGTACTTTAAAAAAAACGTACGATCTGCCCATCTTGGACAGGCAGATCGTACCTGCGATCATCGCAAGCCCGCCCCCCTGAGGGGCGGGCTTCCGATGACTGCAATGCTGAACGGGCAGTGTGCGCGTGCGCACACCGGCCCGTTCGGCAGTGATCTCTCGATCATGTTAAAAACCAGCAGAAAATCGTACGATTCTCGGCTGCTTTTCCAACATGCTCGATATACAAAAGTTGTGCGACCGTACATTAGAAACGGTCGCACGCCTTCCATACACTGCATGATTCTCGTACGATTAGTCTTCAATAAGAGGTGAGAATAATGGTCTCATTGAGTGGCAGAAGAACAGGAAATGGCAGTTGTGACTGAGACTATTTCTTCCCCACCATGCCCCATACATTAACAACCAAAACTTACAATGCCCTCAGAAACATTTACCAGGTCTACAAGATTGTTTGATATAAAGTGTTTGTGCAATCGATTGTTGTGCACACCTCTGTGCTGAACTTTCATATCATGGTACAGATCTTAGAAATACACTTTTGGCAATGGGAGAGTGCCAAAGGGAAAGAAAGTATCTTAAGGGTCTGTGCTGTCGAGATTTAGTTGTTTTTTTTTCTTCAGATGGGTTTTGCATTACAATACATGTCTATGGGAATGCAAAACTGGCTCCAATCAGGTCAACCGCAGGTTAATTGAACCAATCAGTAAATTCTGAATGATCTCAGAAGTGTCTCAAACTAATGCCATTGACACAGACCTTTATGAAAACTTGTTGCCAGAACAATATGAAAGCTGCCATATAAACTGCTGACCTCATAAAAATGTTACTTACCAGGCTGATCCAATGATTTTGGTGCTCTGAACCAGAAACATTAATATCTGTAAAAGTTGGACTGATTTATTTCTAATAAACATACTTTAAATCATTTCCATTGCTGGCTATTGTAGATCTTTTTTACATTTTCTGACACGTTAAGCATGGGATTCTTTAACCAGAGTGTATTCTTCTCCCCACAGATCAGCTCCTTCCATGGCACCTGCTAAAAGAAGGACTCATTGATGACTTTGTACCGTTTTTGCCTTTGGAACGCTCTCATGTCAAGATGTGTGCCCGAGATGTTTTCGCCGCTCGAGGGTTACCATACACGGAGAGCTCTTTAGAGAAAATCCTAGAGGAGCTTGTGTTTGTGCCAAAGAATGAGAGGATTTTTTCTGCCCATGGATGTAAACATGTGGCCCAAAGAATCCACTTTATGAAGCCTTAATATAATGGCCACAGAGTCTGCGAGGCTAATTGACAAGCCACGAGCTTCATGGACCTGGAAATGGGACACAAAGAAACTTGGCAATAGACAACACTGCTGTTACATTATAAATGGCTTCAGGGAAAGCCTAACCCTTTCTTCTGTGTTCCACATTCTACTTTTTAAAACAGGTTTACATTAACACTCAACATAGTGTAAAAATGTCCCTGCTTCCTTCTTTGTTAATGGTTTTCCATTTCCCTGTCGACACACAGAAGGTGTCCCATTTACACTGGTCTTAAAAGGCGCAGGGCCCTCAGCCCATGAGCCAAACTGGTCAGGAAAATGGTCATATTGAGTTGTGTTGTCTATATTGTCTGGCCTGAATCAGGTCCACTGACGTTCATTGATCACTACATTAGGACACCCAGGCTTATGCCACATGCAGCTACTCTTTTAACAAGGCTGAAGACACATGCTCTCTAATTTTTGTTACAGAAAGAGTTGTCAAGAATGCATCTGTTTTAGGAGATAACTTATTGGGAATCAAGAAGAAGCTTTACTCTGTGGAAAACACCATGAGAATGGTTTATAATTTATAAGTACTGTTTTTATATATTTTATATATCTATAAATATTTTGTCAACCTGTTACACAAATTCTTTGTCAGCAACCTGTTACAAGTATTCTATAAATGCTATTTATTTTTTTACTACAATAAATATTTTATCAGATGCAATCTTTAAAACCGTGTCAGTCAGTTTATATCACCTCTTATCTACAACTTTTATAATCCAGCTGTTAACGAGGACATCCCATATACAGAGAAGCCGCCTGATCGGCATTGACCGCTGATGATGCAAGAAATGCGTGTCTCGGCTCTTGTGTGGTGCAAAGTCCGCACTGTCTGCTTTGTGGAACTGGAGCCAGATCACCAAGTTCATGCACTTTACACATTTGCTCCTCGGGGTCAACGGTGGGTCGTAATGACCCTTTTTGCACACAACAGAATTACAACAGCAATGAATACATTTCATAATATTCAGCTGCAATCATCTGCATGATGTGTACATCTCTGTATATTGGGGAACTACAAATCTCAACCTGTCCTGCAAAACTATGTTAACCTGCGTACATCTAATGTTGCAGGCATCTAAAGGCAATACATTTTTTTCCCCAACACAGTCCTTTCAATGCCCAGAAAACATGAAAGCTCTACAGCATCCCCAACATTAGGTGTATATAAATAAATGAGTCCTACAAGTTAAACCTTGGCTCAGTGGTTACCACTTCTGCCTAGCAGTATTGAGGATCCAGGTTTGGCCATGATGCAATCTGCATGGACCTTGCATGGGTTTCCTCCGGGTACTCCAGTTTCCTCCCACACTCCAAAGACATGCTGGTAGGTTAATTGGCTCCTGTGTAAATTGGCCCTAGTATGTTTGCATTTGAGATCAGGGCCTTAGAGTGTAAGCTCCTTGAAAGCAGGGACTGATGTGTATGAAGAGTGTTAAAGCACTGCGTAAATTGACAGCGCTATATAAATACAAGTAATAAACAACCCTAAAAATGAACACTCCTTCCCCAGTGACCTCCTTATAGGAACCCTCCTTCCCCAGTGACCTCCTTATAGGAACCCTCCTTCCCCAGTGACCTCCTTATAGGTACCCAGGTAAATCTCTTGCTTTGTCCTGCATCAGCAAAGCACAGGTTCACTGTAAAATCTATCAGTCAGCAAAGTCCATTCTCCTGAATGGTTTGTGTCTGGAGTCCTTGGCTTATAACCCACTACAAAGTGTATTTACCGTAATTCTCAGCAACTTATTTATAGACTAGGCCAAAGTCAGATTTCACAATATTAAATAAAAAAGGGGAGAATTGAACTCTCAAAACCGTGCGGTTAAAGGGCATTTTAAAGGAAAACAGCTGCATCACTAGCCAAACAATGATCCTCTGGTCAGGTAACTATTGCGTTGCAGCCGAACCTCTACTCAGATCATGCAGTGACTCTGGAAACAATTCGTTATACTTTATAGTGCACAGTGGACATGCTACTGACATAAAGGAGAGGCCATATTCATGATTAGTGGCCTAACGATAATCTAGACATAGAGAGATATGTTTAGTGGATTTAAGAGATTTTGTATGAACTACCTGGTAGCACCATTATCAGTGTTAGTCTGCTAGGCGTTTGCATGTTCTACCTTCGCTTGCGTGGCCCTTGTATGTATGCATGTGAGATAGGGACCTTAGACTGTAAGCTCCTTGAGGGCAGGGACTGATGTGAATATGTACGATGTAAAGTGCTACGAAAATTGTTGGCAGTATATCAACACCTGTCATAAATTATACAGTGGTTACATTCCAGCCAACTTCCTCCCAGAATGCTAATTGTATTGACTTTCTGCTTCTAGCATATTTTTTTTTTTAAGGCTGGCTTCATACTTGGGCATTGGGGTAACATGAAGTCAACATTATGTTACAATGTGCGCACCAACGTCACTCATTTAGCATGGCACTCCAACACACACATATACAGTAGCTGCCAAAACACAGGTGTTGGAAAGGCTGCAGGTTTGTTTTTTCATGCCTTGACAGCCCTTTTAAAAGAGCTGCCTAAATGCAATGCATGAAATGTGTATGAGGGTCCTAACAGAACACGTCACAAAAATAAATATATAGGTTGTCACTCGTGACCTACCCATGAGGAAACTAATTGCCTACTCGCCATGTTAATGCTTTGGCTTAAAGTGAACCTGTAGCTAAAATGAAAATAAAGCCGACGGCAGCAGGTAACTGACTATATAAGCTGTGCATATACCTGTTGCTGCTTTAATCTCATCTCAGAGCTTCCCAACATTGATATGCAAATAGTAATTTCTTCTTATGCTGGGCACACACCTTACCTTACAACCATCGCAAGACTTTTGTCTTGCGATGGTTGTAAGGTACTTAAAAAAAACGTGCGGGCTACCGATGACCGCAATGCCAAACGGGCAGTGTGCGCTTGCCCACACTAGCCCGTCCGGCTTTTATCTTACGAACATGCTACACACCCGCCGAGCATCGTATGATGCTCGGCGGGTTTTCGAACATGTTCGTAAGTTTAAAGTCGTGCGACCTTACAGTAGTAGAGGTCGCACAGCTTCCACACTCCTTATGATAATCGTACGATCGCGGGATTTCCCGGGATTAGTCAATATTGGCATACAACGGTGTAACAATCGCCATAGCAGCCCACAGGTAATAAGGGGTAATAAAACTTGTGCGCTACGGATGGGTAGCTCTGGCAGCAGGCATTATTTGACGGAACTGGGGTGGGGGGGCTGGTGTGCTTTATCTTCACTACCAGGACAGTTTTCTGCAGCAGCTGGTAGTGTTCATTGCTTATGCCAGTGCTAGACAAATCCTTGGGAAGGTGCCAGGTAGCCAATGTTCCTTAATAATGAAAGCTGGTGCATAATATTTGAGATCCTCTCTAGTTGTCAATGGAGCTGGGCTCCTAAAAAAAAAAATCTTGCCAGCTCTCAGATTAGACAGACTGGCTCTTGCATGCCATATTATTTTGTCCACCCCGGGGGCTTATACTGTCTGCTTTATTTTGCAGGATTGTGATGAGTACTGAAAGTCAAGCACTGACGACAGAACTAAATGATTAGCAATTTCAAAAGGGAAATTAACGTTTTTGTATTTCTCTCATGCAAGATGTCCTTACCACACTAGCCCGTCCGGCTTTTATCTTACGAACATGCTACACACCCGCCGAGCATCGTATGATGCTCGGCGGGTTTTCGAACATGTTCGTAAGTTTAAAGTCGTGCGACCTTACAGTAGTAGAGGTCGCACAGCTTCCACACTCCTTATGATAATCGTACGATCGCGGGATTTCCCGGGATTAGTCAATATTGGCATACAACGGTGTAACAATCGCCATAGCAGCCCACAGGTAATAAGGGGTAATAAAACTTGTGCGCTACGGATGGGTAGCTCTGGCAGCAGGCATTATTTGACGGAACTGGGGTGGGGGGGCTGGTGTGCTTTATCTTCACTACCAGGACAGTTTTCTGCAGCAGCTGGTAGTGTTCATTGCTTATGCCAGTGCTAGACAAATCCTTGGGAAGGTGCCAGGTAGCCAATGTTCCTTAATAATGAAAGCTGGTGCATAATATTTGAGATCCTCTCTAGTTGTCAATGGAGCTGGGCTCCTAAAAAAAAAAATCTTGCCAGCTCTCAGATTAGACAGACTGGCTCTTGCATGCCATATTATTTTGTCCACCCCGGGGGCTTATACTGTCTGCTTTATTTTGCAGGATTGTGATGAGTACTGAAAGTCAAGCACTGACGACAGAACTAAATGATTAGCAATTTCAAAAGGGAAATTAACGTTTTTGTATTTCTCTCATGCAAGATGTCCTTTATACCCTTAGGGGCAAAGTCCAAATCCCATTCGCACTGCCACGGTCTCAAAGTCCACAAGGTATATGTGGTGCTCCAGGTGACCACACGGATGGCGCCGTGCAAACACTAGTGATAAAGAAAAGTATTTCACCGGCACACACTTGAAAAGATCTTTAAAGTATTGATATGTTTATTCAATACTAGATGTCACATATTGTCATACAGGGCATCGTATGACAGTATGTGACATCTGGTATGGAATAAACATATCAATACTTTAAAGATCTTTTCAAGTGTGTGCCGGTGAAATACCTTTCTTTATACACTTAAGAACTACAAGAAGCAGAAGTGCAGTCTAATCGGAATGCGTTGCAGCAAGAGGCTATACATCTACCATTTCTCTATCTCCCAGAATGTGCGCTTCTGGTTGGCCTTGACTGGTGGTCATGTGACGCAGCAGTCTTATGACAACGCATTGTTACTCCTGCACATCTCCCTCTGCTCATTCTCTGACAGAGAGCACAAGGAGACAGCGTTTTGCAATGTTGCTTGCTTCATGGTGCGTGGATCAATGTATGAAAGGTTTAAAAAATAAATAACCACCTTTTGTTCACCTTGTCATAAGTGCTTGTATAAGC